ACCGCCAAGTGAGCTCCCACCTGGGCCTCGTAGGCTCAGTGGTTCCCAATGCCTCCACTTAAATATAGAATAGGGCAGGAGCATGGCTCACACCTGACATCCCAGCACTTTGGGAGGCCGAGGCAGGAAGATCGCTTGAGCTCAGGAGTTCCAGACCAACCTGGGCAACATAGCAAGACCTCATCTCCACACACTTACAAAATTAGCCGGGCATAGTGGTGCGCGCCTGTAGTACCACCTACTTGGGAGGCTGAGGCAGGGGAATTGACTGAGCCCAGGAGATGAAGGCTGCAGTGAGCCATGATCGAGCCACTACACTCCAGCCTGGGGGATAGAGTCAGATCCAGCTCAGAAGAAAAAGTAACAAATAAATAAACATAGAGCAGATAGAATAGTCCCCTGGGGTGTGATTTTGGGGCTGGAGGAGGGGCTGACCCCTTTCGGGCTCCCCTTATATCCTCTCCCGTGAGCCTCCATTTTCCCTGGTTTCCTCGGACACACTGATTGAGCACCTACTACGTGCCCAGAATCGTTTGGGGCAGTGCAGATCCAGCAGTGTGTGTGACGGGCTTGCAGCATAGCGGGGGCACAGCAGACAGGCTGCAGAGGGCACCGTGGGCATGGACGTGCAACCTTGAGCCGTGAGGAGAGGCTTCACAGAGGAGGAGAGTCTGAGCTGGGTATTGAGGATGCGTAGGAGTTTGCCAAATGAATGAGGAAAGAGAGTGAGAAGCCTTCGTGTGGCTTGTTAAGTGCTAGGGTGGGTCACGAGGGAGAGCGGAGGGGCAGAGGCCCTGAGGACCAAGCCCAGGGTGCTGGGGAGCCACAGAGGAGTTTAGAGCAGGGAGGGACTGGGCCAGTACAGCGGGGAGAGCGGGACAGGTGATGACCCTTCTGGCTGGTTCAGCAGGGGACTAGATTGGTCGGCCAGACCCCCCACGCGCCCCTGTCCCCCACAGGCCCCAAAGGCCAAGAGGAAGGTGGAGGTCTGGGAGCAGAGCGTCGGCAGCCTGGGAGGCCAGCCCCCGCTGTCCGGCCTGGTCGTGGTGAAGAAGGCCAAGGTCGACCTGGACGGCAGCCCCACGCGGGGCCCGGCCCCAACATCAGGTGGGTCCCTGGGTCCCCGGGTCCCCGAGCTGGGCGCCATGCCGCCAGGCGCCACCAGGGGACAGTCGTGCTCCTGGAGCTGTTCTCCAGCCACCGTGGGAAAGTGGGGGTGACGGGCGACCCCAGACAGCGGGTCTTCGTTGCTTGCTTGCTGTTTCTTTCCTCTCTTTCTTTTTTTTTGAGTTGGAGTCCCACTCTGTCGCCCAGGCTGGAGTGCGGTGGCACGATCGTGGCTCACTGCAGCCTTAACCTGCTGGGCTCCAGCGATCTTTCCGCCTCAGCCTTGCAAGTAGCTTGAACTACAGGTGTGTGCCACCACGCCCGGCTTATTTTTTGATTTATTGTAGAGACGAGGTCTTGGCAAGTTGCCCTGGCTGGTCTTGAACCCCTGGGCTCAGGTAATCCTCTCGCCTCAGCCTCCCAAAGTGCTGGGATGACAGGTTTGAGCCACTGCCCCGGCTTCTTCTCTTTTTTTTTTTTTTTTTTTAATTTAATGACTTGGGTTTTTTTTTGAGTTGGAGTCTCACTCTGTCGCCCAGGCTGGAGTACAGGGGCACACTCATGGCCAGCCCAGCGTTGACCTGCTGGGCTCCGGCGATGCTTCTGTCTCAGCCTTCCAAGTAGCCGGACCCACAGGCGCACGCTACCACGCCCAGCTTATGGTTTGATTTATGGTAGAGACGAGGTCTCGCCAAGTTGCTCAGGCTGGTTGCGAACCCGTGGGCTCAGGCAATTCTCTCCTTGGCCTCCCCAAAGTGCTGGCATGACAGGCTGAGCCACCGCACCTGGCCTCTTTTCTTTTTTTTTTTTCAATTACAGAAGGATCAAGCACTTGCTTCTAAGACCCACATTCCACAGAAGTGTGTCTGAAGTAAATATCAAATTCTGCAGAACCCCGCCCCAACCTCCCATCGCCAGGGACGCTGGGTTTCCCTTCCGCAAGGCTGTGTCCTCTCTGTTGTGATGTAGTTGACACTCTCTGGGGGCGACAACGTCTGCCCCCCGCCCTCCAACCCTGGGAGATGGAGGGCTGGGCTGGGGTGGGCGTTGCCAGCTGGTTAAGACCCGGACCCAGACCCTGTTGCCAGCCACAGCCTCCACTTGCCTGTCAGCGGCATGCCCAGGGCCTGCCCTCCCCCCGGGCCTCAGTTTCCCGTCCTGTGGAACGTGGCTGATGGGACCCACCTCCCAGGCGGGGTCAGCACCCAGGTTTGGGGTTCCTCCTTGGGCTCCTCCGTGTCGGGCATTTGCGGTAGGTCCTCCCGCACGAGAGCCTTCGGTGTACGGGAGCCCAATGGCTCAGTACCCCGACTGCCCCACTTGTCAGACGAAGAGACTGAGGGTCAGAGAGGCACACGTGCCAGAAACCCCACACCCAAGGTGGGAGAAGAAGCCCTCTCAGGCTTGCAGTCCAGATTTTGATGTTAGACTTCGAGCCGGCCCCGTTTGCTGCCTGGGTGGGGGTTCCAGGGCTCGGATTTCAGAAGTGGAGGTGCCGGGTCAAGGGGTGTGCGGGTGTCTTTCCGCGATGGGTCCCCCTAGGCGCCCTCCAGAGGGGCCGACCCCTCGCACGCCATCACCTCCAGGTCTGGGGACAAGCACAAGCGGCCTGGCACTCCTGGTCTGTCTCAGCGGCACAGGGACAGGGTGGTGGCAGGCCTGACCCTCCCTCTCCCCGCAGACGCCCCCGAGAGCAGGAAGGTGGCCAACCCTGCACCCCTGCCACCGGCCGCCTCCTCCCTGAGCCAGCTGGGTGCATACCTGGACAGCGACGACAGCAACAGCAGCAACTGAGCCAGCCCACCCGGGCCCTCCCCGTCTCAAGGTCACGAGGCTGGCATCAGCCACGTGGAGGCTGGGGCAGGAGACCTCCGCACCAACCACAACCACAGAGGACAGGCACCAGCCTCCACCAGGCCCATGGGGCAGCGAGGGCATCGGCCCAGGACGTGCTTCCTTCTCGCCCTCACCAGCCCCTAGCACCTCGGGAACCCGCCCCCGGCCCCCTAACCTGGCACTGCGAGGCCTGTGACCTCCTAGGCATCTCTGCGTGACTTCAGGTCCGTCCTGGACATGTGGGCTGTATTTGGAGCATGTGGGTAAACCCAGCCACCCCCAGAGGGCTCCAACCAATAAAAAGAAACCACCCACCCAGCTGGGTGTGTCTCTCTGTGGGTGTCCAAGGAGGGGCCCAGGGCAGGGCCTGTTAGCGGATTCTGGTTATTCCACAAATATTCATAATAGTTATTTCCAAGTTGTGCCAGGCATAGGATCTGGGCTTTTTTCTTGCTTGCTTTTTTTTAGTTTTAGAGACACGGTCTTGCTGTGTTGCCCAGGCTGGACTCGACCTCCTGGCCTCAAGCGATCCTCCCGCCTCGGCCTCCTGAGTAGTTGGGACTACAGGTGGGCATAGCTATGCCCAGCCTGGGTTTGGCTTTTGAAGCACGTTCTATCGTTGGTGCCAGAGCTCAGCCCGGCCCTGCTGGGAGCATTGGGTTTGTTCCCGTGATTTTGTTGCTACCCACAGTGTCAGGACAGAATTCCTCATGGGTGTTTTCTTGTGAACACGGGCAAATACCTCTTCAGAAGGGACCCTGAGAAACAGAACTGCCAGTTTCAAGGAGGTACGTATTGTTCATTTTAAGACACTACGGGCCAGGTGCAGTGGCTCATACCTGCAGTCCCAGCACTTTGGGAGGCCGAGGCAGGAGGATCGTTGGAGCCCTGGATCTCTACAGAAAACTTAAAAAGTCAACCAGGCATGGTTGTGCCTGTAGACCCGGGTCCTTGGGAGGCTGAGGTGAGAGCATTGCTTGAGGCCAGGAATTGGAGGCTGCAGTGAACGGTGATTGCACACTGCACTCTAGCCTGGGAGACAGAGCGAGCCCACATACCTAATATAGATGTATGCCAGAGGTGGTGGTCATGACCGGAAATAGCGCAGGTTCAAGTTCTGGGGAGTGTGCCGTCAGGAGGCGTGTACCGCCCATCTTCCCTGTATCCGTTATCTGCTGCTACACGTGACACATTAAGTACAGCAAATTATCCCCAAATCAAGTGGCTGAAAACCACGGAGAGGCCGGCTTCAGTGGCTCAACCTGAAATCCGACCACTTTGGGAGGCCAAGACGAGTGGATGGCCTGAGCCCGCGGATTCAAGACCCGCCCGGGCAACTTGGCGAGACCTCATCTCTACAATCAATCAAAAATCAGCCGGGCGTGGTGGCGCGTGCCTGTGGTTCCCGCTACTTGGAAGGCTGAGGCGGAAGGATCGCCGGAGCCCGGCAGGTCGAGGGTGCGGTGGCCGGGAACGGCCACTGCCCTCCAGCGTGGGCGACAGCGTGAGACAACTCAAAAAAAACCCAAAAACCCAGAGACCCAGGCGGGGTTCAGCCAGGTCTCCTGCTTCAGGGTGGGACCGCGCCTCCTCCCTCAGGCGAGCGGCTTCCGCGGCTTCCGAAGGCAGGCTCCTGTCTTCTCTGCAGTCAAGACACCGGCCGGGGCTGTGGTTTCATCCAAAGCCCCGACGGGGGAAGCACCTTCTGAGCTCACTCTGTGGTGGTTGACCAAATTCAGTTTCTCACGGGCTTCTCACCCTCAGTCCCCAGCCTACATACATCCCACCAAAAGCCCTTAAGTCTGTTTGCTGCTGTAACAGGGTCACAGACGGGGGAGATGGCAGACAGCCCGCGTTTATTGGCGTTGTGGCTCAGGGGCCTGGGAAGACCGAGAGCATCACGCTGGCGTCCTGTGAGGGCCGTCCCGGATGTGGCCAGCGGGGGGAGGGCGGTGCATGGGAGAGACAGCTCGCCTTTGTAACAAAGCCACTCCTGCCACGACAGACCCACTCCCGTGACACTGAATGGCCTGTGATCATGCACTGAGGGCACGGCTGCCATGGTCACATCACTTTTTTTTTTCCTGAGTCAGTCTCACTCCGCCGCCCAGACTGAAGGGCAGTGGCCGCTCCCGGCCACCGCAGCCTCGACCTGCCGGGCTCCGGCGATCCTCCCGCCTCAGCCTTCCGAGTAGCCGGAATTACAGGCGCGCGCTACCACGCCCGGCTGATTTTTTGATTTATTGTAGAGATGAGGTCTCGCTGCCCAGGCGGGTCTCGAACCCGCGGGCTCAGGCCATCCACTCGCCTCAGCCTCCCAAAGCGCGGGATGACAGGCTGAGCCACCGAGCCCGGTGAGACAGGGTCTTGCACTGTCACCCAGGCTGGAGGGCAGTGGTGCAATCATATCTCACTGCAGCCTCCAACTCCTGGGCTCAAGTGATCCTCCTGTCTCAGCCTCCCAAGGAGCTGGGACGACAGGCACACACACCTGGCGGCTCATATTTTGATTTTTTTGTAGAGACGAGATGTTACTATGTTGCCCCGGCTGGTCTCGAACTCCCGGCCTTCCAGGGATCCTCCCGCCTCAGCCTTCCAAAGCCCTGGGATGACAGGCGTGAGCCACCGCACCCGGCCGAATTTTTATTTTTCCTTCTGATTTTCCTGAGAAGCTTGAAAGCTTCGTCCTCTCTCCCTGTATCTCAGGAACTGTTTGCTCTTGGCCCCGATCCCGCCGCGGGGGTCCCCAGAGCTGAGCCAGCCGGAGGACGGGCACAGCCTCACCCTGGGGTCTGTCGGGGCCGAACCCCCGCCCCCCCACCATCTGTCCCCCCTCCCT